TGATTACCTTTCCATCTTTCGACAAGAATTGGCTGTATAGCTTAAGAATCAACCGCCTCAACTCTTCGGCAATTTGGGGGGCTGGGCGTGGTTCACACAGGGAGCTCATCCCAGAGTTCAATGCGGTGGATTCGTCATCTTCAAGAAGACGATAAATGCTGTCATCATCCCTGAACTCTGTGTCCTTTCCTTTTTCCAAACTATGACCAAAGTTGCGCTCGACAAGCTCACGGCACATCTCTATCGCTCTTTCTCTTTCTAATGAAGACATTTTGAGAGAGAAATACATTGTAATCAATGTGGATTGAGCACGTGATCCATTTAGGCATGTGATAAGTTGTATACAGGGACCACCGCAAGTTTGCAAAGCCCCATGTTCAGCTCAACCTGCAAACAATCTGCAGATCTGATCCAAAATAGATACATCATCTGTACATTACTTCAGACAATACAGTAATATGCTATGTTTAAAAGTAGCTCCTTATACCTGTCAAGGGCAAACAGTGGATAGAAGAAAATTTTTTTACACTGCCTTGTGTGGGCTTGAATCAGTGGAAACTTGCTTAGAACGTAGGCACAGATTAATGTAATGTCCAATTGGACAAAAATCCATTCCAAACAAATGTTTGCGCCAAATAGAGCCTATTGCTTAACATGCAGTTTAGTTAAACAAAAGTTGCCCAAGGCCTAGTTTGCAGAATAATACTTGCCTACTTTCTTTGATGAGACAAGCCAATCTACAGCTTCCTTGCCAATGAAGGAGTTCTTGTAACTGTGTATGAGACCTTTACGGCGATCTTTTATAAGACCACTTTCTTTGAAGTCCTTGACAAGCTGAGCATATTCATCCAGCTCACAGGTGAAATCGATTTCTTCCCCCTCTTTTGCTATGAATAACAAAACATATTCAATATTACATAGAATACTATTATATATATGACTGGATTGAAAACCGTGTCAAGACTGCACCAAAACAGCCATCAAATGCNAGAGTGGAGAAAAAAAAGACTGACATTCATTTTAAATTTTATACCGTCTACTTCGGAGATGCTTAAGCAGGGCATGATTTCTTTAACCCTGAATTGATAAATCCAGACATAAATATAATAATTTGAAGATATCAAATGCTTAAGTCAATTAAACTCCATTATTGATCAATGTCTAAGTTTCCCATGCAATATCAATCGGCATTTTGAAAATCAAAATGTTGACAAAGTGTTGCTTGAAGCCAGAGTGTCCATATTTATTCTAATTTCACAATATTCAAGTTTTTGCACCCTTGCATTGTTTTCCGTCCCACCCTCAACCCCCACTTCGTGATTGTTGTCACATTGCACTTGCCTCATTGCTGTTATTTTGAGACTGTTGTAAGTATATCAGCTTATATCACCACTCAACCCAGGAACAGAAAATTTGCATGACCATGTTGAGCACTTGTGTGTGCAATATCACAAATGACAATTATGCCAAGTTTGATCTTCAAAAGGCAGTGTAAGAATACCTGTCTTTTTACTGACAGTACAGGTCAAAGGGATTGCAGCTTACACGCTTATTACATGCATTGACAACACATTTTACATGCACCAAACATGCAAATGCATGTAACTTAAACTGGTTACATGCCGTGGATTTGATATTGCATGTAAAATTGCACGCAGTTGTTCAACTGGAAATCGTTAGGTGCGTGTAAAGAAGATAGTACAAAATTATACAAAACCTACAAGCCAAGTCTGGATTTTTTACTCGTCTTAGCCTAGCTGGCTACTCTTAGTCAGGAGAACCTTTCACACATAATGATCACAATCTGTTCTTAAGTATTATTCATTGCACAGTCTCAGAGTATCTCTTACCATTTCCTGAGTCTCCTGGGGAGGGTGGTTGAGGAGCATTTGCAGGTGCTGGATTCTCCTCCACTTCTTTGATTAACTCTTGAAGTTCAGCCTCCGTCTTGGAACAAAGCAGAAACAGACAGGTGGTTCAATAAATAATGAATAAATTGCCAGACGAGATGCAGACAATAAAAATTCATATACTTATGAAACTCCATTAAAAAAATGCTTAATGTTTTAAGTCACATACATGCATTCTAATGTCACCCCAATACAGTAACAGTTACTCTTTGCTTTGAGAATGATGGTAGAAATATTTTCGAAACAATGGATAACTGTTATTAAGCTTATTAAATAATTATAATTTTAACACAAAATTAGCGAAAGTAATAAAAAACATTTTGACATTGTCGGGACGTCATTGTCAAGTAAACACGTAGGTCAGTTTGCATTATAAATAGATCTACAATTAAATGACAAGAAAACAGGAACAGGCTAGGTGACTAATAGGAAACTATGTTAATTAAAAAATAACACAATTTTGTTCTGTTTGAGCCTGACTGAGTATTGAGTACTGGCTTATTTAGTTCTCTGATATATATTACATTTCATATATCAGACAGTCAAGTTCACTGCTGCATTTCCTTAAGATAGTAAAATGGTCTTTGATATTCCTTTTCACACGTAAAATTACAAAATTGCTATGGCAACATTTAACACAAAATTTCTGGATACAATAAACTAGTCAAAAACCCACAATAATAACAATTTTGTGCTAAATGTTGCCATAGCAATTTTGTAATTATTGTAATTATTGTAAGCGTAATTTGTCACCTATGGCATTAAAAGGTGATCAAATGGTTTATTCATGAAATTAGGAAATAATTTCACTCGCGCTTTGTCAAAATTTTAATAATATCCTACACCTTTTAGAAAGGCTTGGGAAATTATAGGAATTTCCAGAAAATGCACGTGAAATTGTTTCCTTCACTCGTCACCATTTGATTACCCATACCAATCGGCAAAGAAAGTAAGAAGTGTATTTAATGGCATTTCAATTTGTGTTGAATCATGACTAGGGGAAATTATATCCAGGGAGGAGGGGGGCGGGCAGAGGATGGGGGGAGATGGAGTGGGGGGGTTATAAGTGGTCAAACAGAATGTTTAGAAATGAGCAAAAAGAAGAATGGACAAATTTTACCAGATGTGGGATTTTTTCATTTGCATTGATTCAAAGCTGCACTGTTTCTAATTGAAGTTTGGTGTTGCTAATATGCTAGTAAGTAAACGGGAGCAGGGTTCATATCTATGGTTGCCAGGGAGGGGACATATAACCAGATTTCGTTCAAGGAGGGGGAGCGGCTGAAGGGGGTTATTGAAGGGCATTTGTAACTACAGCATTAGCTGGGTGACGTTTAATGAACTCTAGTTTGTCACGCTCGAATGATCATTGTTTGTTTAAGGTGATATAAAATAAATGCACTGTCACCATGATATTAGTGTTGACTAACATTTTAGCTCGTATTTTGATAAACTACCAAAGAAAGTTAGCAAGCGGATTATTTTAAACTTTTTTCTGTACATTAAGGAAGAAACTACGTTCCAAAATTCATCAAAAACCCAGAATAATCCGTAAAACTCCATGTTTGATAAGCTTACAGCAAATTATAGAATGAGCAGAACTTCATCGGCTTATGTTTATTTAAGTTATTTATTCGCACGAAGTGTTCTGGCAGCGTTTCTAATTATTGGCGGATGGTGTATTTTTTAAGCCTCGGCAATATTTCAAAAATGCAGATCATTCAAAGACGTCGAGAAAAAAGTTAAAAATTAAAATTACAAATTCAAGGGCAAACTAAACTTTTTCCGGGTTGATATGCTCTACTGGAAAATCTTGACTTAACGGGACTTAAGTCTATTTTATTGAAGCCACAAACGGCAGTTAACCCTAACCGTGGTTTTTTAAACTTGATAGCACAAACCAAGAAAAAAGTCTTCCCTTACCAATTTATCAAAGTCGTCGAAGCCGCCGATGTGTCGGTTGTTGAAGAATATCTGCGGCACGGTGTTCCTGCCCGATCGTTCCTTCGCTTCTGCTCGCCGCTCGGGATAGTTGTCCAAATTGATGTCGATGTAATCTATGCCAAGTTTCTGCATTTTGTCCTTGGCTCGCATACAAAACGGACAGCCAGTGATCGAGAAAATAATGACTCGTCCTTTCATGGTTGATGGGTGGGCAAAATAATGTAGCCAGTAAGTTCTCTTTTGACAGGATATATTGAAGTCTCGAGTCTTGTGAAAAACACGACGGTCGACCCCAGGCCTGGGTCGGCTCGGTCTGCGCACTCTAGGGTGACGATGGAACACAGTGAAACTTCCGGAGCAAAAACCCGTGTGACCTACATGGACCTACATTTTTTGAAGTCTGGCATAATGGTTCTTGTATTTTGGGATAGTTATTGGTAATTTAGCCCAAGTAGGAGATAGATAAACTTTGGTTTGGTCCTTACAGCATACACTCAGTATACTGTCCACAATATTTATTCACAACTCGTGACAACGGCATTATATGACAAGTCTAACACAACTGATTACCGAATGTATGTGTAGTTTTGCCTCTATAACAACAGTTCATAATCTAACTGTAATTCACATATAAGGACCTGCTCGGATCTTGTTTGGCTAAACGGGTTCTTCCATCTTTGGGTTTTAAATGGCATATTTCTGCCAACCAACGTTACCAAAATTGCAGTGGTCGATGAGTTTGAGCCTTTTACCGATGTCATACACTATCAACAATTTTTCGTATTTTTCAAATATCCAAAAAAAAAAACCACCTCCGTGGTTCAAATCATCACGCCGGGTGTAGTAAATCTGCGAAGGTTTGTAATAATCCGTTGCGAACTCAGGGACCCCAAACTTAAAAGGTAATGTGTGCCAGGGGGAAGCGTTGTCCCCCTGGCATACATTTCTTTGTAAAAATTGGCAAGTTAGGGATCCCGTATACATATTTTTTTGCTTTTGCAACGAATTATTATTAAACTTCACATATTTACTTAAGTCGGCATGATAAATTGAACGGTGCGGTATATTTTTTTGTTTGAATGAAAAAAAAAATTGGAAAAGCATAACATCGGTAAAACATAGTGCAATGTTTCAACAGTGGACCGATTACCGGACAATAAACAAGAACAAAATTAAGACTACAAAAACTAACCCGAGCGAAAAATAGAAATATATGATCATAGGAAGAGAGCGTTAGGCGCACGGGAGGGCTCTTGGTAAGAGCTTACACCTCCTCCGAGACTGTAGCCTGCACATCACTGAAAAGCGCATCACTGTAAAGGTTGTTACTTTAATAAACCGCTTTTCAAGTTCAAAAAGGCGGGTAATTTCCTTAGACTGCACGCGAAAACAAATTAAAATATTTCATAGTCAGTGCGTTCACAAAGCTGTCGCTCGTGTCAAAGTCATTTGCATAACCCTTGAACTCGGTGAAAACCCTTCTTCTGCCGTTCAAATTCATTTTTTGACCTCCTGGATAGTGCAAAATAGCTTCACTTAACATATACTTGTCTGCAATACAGGTCCATTGCCGAGGTAAAAATTGCGTTGACGTCGATCAGTTTCCATGGCGTGCAGGACTCAAAAGGCGAAGTTTTCTCGTTTTTGCGAATTTTTGGAGGAACATTTGGATGCTGAAATGGATAATTGAATTGCTGAGAAGACTAAAGGAAGACATTCATGGACTTGTTGTTAAAAAACTGATGAAAGCACGTCTGCTAATCTGACAGTTCAGTTCGCGCGATTATTCTAAAGCTGCTCTGGGGAGCAGGGATGGCGCAGAGGTGAGAGCGCTCGCCTCCCACCAATGCGGCTGGGTTCGATTCCGGCCCGGTGCCATATGTGGGTTGGGTTTCTCGTTGGTTCTCCCCTTGCTCCGAGTGCCCCTGTTTTCCTCCCTCCACAAAAGCTAGCATCTCCAAATTTCGTATTCGACCAGGATAGAGGCCTCGCGTGAAAACTGGCTATTCTCTAAATATTGTAATTTATTTATTTATTTATTTATGTATTTATTTTATTTATTTATCTATTTATCTATATTACGAGAGAAACAATTGGAAACCGTCATTTGAAGTTAAGTTCACTTAAATCATTTTCTCTCGATGTCTATATGGTGATACCTGATTCGTCCTTCGGCCTCACCAACTATCGCCTCGTACAAAAGTAGAAATCTTGAGCTTGTTATCTAACATCTAATTACAATCCCGGGGGGACTCCCATATAGAAAGGACAGGGGTGCTCGTCGTACTTTTTAGAGGTTAAAAAGGCGGTTTTGGTACCTCTTGGGAAATCATGCATGCATGTCCCGGATGTTGTGTTGTGCATGTTGCCAGCGCAACCACCACCTCTTCTCAGATGGAAATATTTTAGCTTTTTCAATCTAAATTCTAAACCAAATAGAACATGATGTTCCTCTATGTTTTCCGGAAAATGATGCACTTTTGAGGTCTAGAAAAACTAGCGTTCTTCTCAAGCGTGCATGAATTTCTTAGAGAAAATGGAACACCATCTTCTTTTATTGGGTGAATAGAACATGGCTTTCCATGAATGCAAAGTATTATAGAGTGTTACAGAAACCGCTGCAGAAAAGGGTATGAAAATCAACCTTGCATCTTTTTAAAGCTTATTTGTTAAGCTCGAGAGACAGCGTGTCCGAGTGGTTAGGGCGCCAGACTTGAAATCCGGAAGTCGCCGGTTTAAGTCCTGCTCTGACCACTAAGCTGGAGTTGTTTCTCAGTAGACTCTAATTCCACTCTTCGGTCATGCTTGTAATTAAATAGCCAACTGGTCTACCTCCCACCAGTTGGGACTTTAAAGCCTATTACGTGTATTTGAAATATTACTTTCTGTCAGTTTAAGTGGCATGCCTGAGAACTAGCTAGTTGTAGCTAAGTGCATCGACCACTATAAACAACAACACTTAACAAGCTCATTGCTGATCCCGATCAACAACAGCTTTGCTTGTTCCATGTATCCAGGTGGTTTTCTTTCTTGGTTAGACACCTTAGATGTCACATTTCACAGCACTTTAATACACTATCAGTGCTTAAGGTAAAGATGGGATAAACCTATCGACTTTTCTTAATTTATTTCTGGTGTTCTGTTTGGTCTATAAACGTTTCTAAACCATCAGGTTTTTAGCTGTGTTCTCCGATTTCTCCTGATAACGAGCTCGAAGGATGTTGAACACGAGCCATTGAACGTCCTGCAGATGTATTGCATTCCTTCCTGGTTTCAGAGATAAGTACCATAGTGCACACTCATGATTAAAAATGTGCGTTCCCTAACTCGGCCACTTTGTGCAAGATAAATGAATGACTAGCACGAAGATTGACATGGCCGCTGACCTCTTGCCAGTTGATAACCTGTGCCCCATCCTTGGCCTTAAAGGGAAGAAAAGGCAGTGGAAAGATTAAAATGTGCGGCTGTTAGATTATATCTTTTCTAGAACTTTGTTGCGTGGAAATACTTTGCTTATAGCGAAAATGTTCAGGCAGCTCTTCTGTGTTAAAAATGGATGATAATTCCTTTATCGCCTCTCCTTCGTATTATTTTCATTTGCAGGATTGTATGGTCTTTAGGAGCATTACAACCTACAAAAA